GGTTTCACACGCTCGGCTGAGTGCGCCGTGCTGAGCCGAAAGCCTCTTGGGCTGTGCCCGCAGTGTGGCCTCGGGTCCTCCCAGCAGCTCTAATAGTAATAGCGATTAAAGCATAGAGCTCGCTTTATATCCTTTCATTAGCCGCGTTTAGCTGATGCTGGTTGTATATTAGAGATGTTTCTATTTACCACAACAGCAGGTGTTTAAGTTAGATCAGGAAAGAAGATTCATTTTCCCAAAGCTGGATGTGTATATATTGCATTAATAAATCACAAATCTGTTTGAAATGATAGTGATTCCATATGTGTAAATCACCAGGGTGAATACGCCCCTGCAGGGATGCACGTGGGTCAGTGACACAGGACTGTATCACACTGCCATGCATCATGAGACTTATGGGACTGCTGTAGAGCTACTAGCAGATTTGGTTCTATGGAAAATAATTTTAAAACTCCTCATGTTTCTTGCTACATGCAATAACACTATGGTAGGTTAAGCCGCCCTCTTGAAATAATCTGGGGAAAAAAAGGGTTTTACCTTGTCTGCCATTTTAATGCCTGATTTCCTCTGCTGTGACTGCAGTGAACTTCCAAACACTGAGTCAAAATACAGCTTTCTCCTGCTATTAAAACTAATGGTTAAACTGATAGTTAACTATCTACTTGCTAATGGTTATTGGTTTGATTTTCTAATGCTGCATGATTAGTCATGTGATAAACAATGTCTGTAAATCAAGCTAATTTTTGAAGTGCCTCTCATATTTAAAGATCCATGAAGACTTTATAAATAGATAGTTTTAAATAGTATAAGATTGTGCTTTCTGAATATGTATATAGAGCCCCAACTGTTCCTAAGGAGCTCTAGTTTTCTTTTTTAGCCCTGTCCCTGATTTGCTTGGGGGCCCCATGAAGATCTCTCACTAGACTGAAAGCTGTAGTTTGAAATTTTGGGAGGAGCAAATAGAAGATCTCCGAATTTCAGAGTGCCTCCTCAACCTAGCATAATTCAGGGAGAGTGACAGAAATCCAGGGATTCATAATAATTGCTGAGCTTTACTATACTTGGAGAACCTTATTGGAAATATGACTTGGGGAGTAGCCAGGACCACTCTGACTATTGTGGCTGGGAATGAGGGACAGCGCTGACAATAGAAACACATTCTGAGGGGGTGCTTCTTCCCTCTTCTGCCAGAATTTAGGCATGGATGCTGGGCCTTTCACTACCATTTTCCTGGGAAAGGTTTACTTGTGGGAAGTCCTTATTGATACATTATCCTTTTGTCTTGTTATTCTTAGAGGATTAAACTTAAAGAATTTTTTTTAAACATTGAAATAATTGTCCCTCTTGTACTCTGGCTTGGCAGAAGTTGCTGAAATTGTGTGTTTATTTCTAGGAATCTGACACTCACGGTCTATTCTGAAAACTTCTGACTTTATATATTGAAGATCTACTGTGGAATTGAAACTGGAAAAGAAACTGGCAGCCAGCAATAGGGCATGAATCTCCTTCATCTACCAGTTGTCAACAGACAAGTAGCACTGTTTTTCTGTTCAAGATGGTATATTTTAAAATGGAAAAGTGATGGAATAACAATCTTTTTCTACATTTCATTTCTTTTTCACTTGAAATTCACAAGTTTTTCTTTTGCATGGGAGAAGATTTTTTGGTAAGGCAAATGGGTAGCAGTGTATGTGAATCATTCTGGGTATATGGATAAAGGGAGCGTTCACTACTCTTTGCTTTCAATTTCTTTATCAGGATCCATCTTTTGTATTCAACTGACAGTTACTCTCACTTTCATCTGACTTCAATCATATTTGCTGTTGATTTGATCCTTATTTAGGCAGTGCTGTGTTTCCTCAAAGGAGAGCCCTTGATCACAAATAGAGATTTTCATAATGATCTAGTAATTTGTTATGTTGAGTTGGCAAATTCAACTGGCCTAATTTAAGGTTGGGCGAGACACTTAAAGCCAAGTGGGTGCCAGTGAGTGAAAGGCAATGTGGAAGTCTCAGAGCTATTAGCTGGTCAATATGGTCAATACTTTTAAAGTTTAAGGATCACTTGAGTGGTGTAGGTGTCAAGAAAATGTAACTTGTTTTAAAATGTTTAATGTTTTGAGGGATAACTAACTCCCTTGTAACTTGCTTTTCAGCTTAGCTTTAAACAGCTCTTTGCATGTTCGTTTGCAAGCAAACTCTCCCTTCAATTGCTAGAAATTTTAAATGGGCTGAAGAGGGTAGAGTCAAGGAAGAATATTGTGCACAGAAAAAATGGATCAAGTTGAAACTCCCCTCCCAAGCAAATTTAAGCAAGTTTTTTGAGAATATGCATAATCAGGAAGCAATAGTATATAAGGGAGATAAAAGCAGTAATATAAGCACACGGCAAAAGCAGGTGGATTATATACTAATTTATGTATTGATCACAGTTGCAACTTGGAATTATTTAATGTAATTTAATTCAAGGTATTTAGCATTTTAAAAAGAATAAATATCTATTCTACCATGGTTTTTTTACATAGTCTTAAAAGGTCTGAATCTCTATTTGTGCTTGTTCAAAGGCTGTGCTTTTACTAGACTCTGACTTTACCAGCAACACAGAGTCTCCGGCCCTGAGGGTCTGTAGGGCACTGCTTTGGTGACTGCTGGGAATGGGGCTGAAAAACAAGTCCTACAGAGCAGTCTCCCCATGTTAAACGTCTGACTAGGTCCACTCTTCAGTTAGGAAAAGTGTAGGGATTCAGAAGAAGGTTGAAAATCACCCCATTTGAGTCCAATCAGTGCCAGTGTTGAGGAAGGTGGAAGAGTGCATGAATGCAGTGAAAACCAACAGTGCCACCTTGTGTGGGTGGGACGGGAGAGTTCGTCCATGAGGAGGCGAAGGGCCCCCGGTGCATCTCCAGCTCTGCACCCCGGCCAGCTGGGACAGGGCACAGGGAAGGATGAGTTCCCTCAGACCTGCAGCACGGAGGTGTTTGCTGCCTCACTTGAAAGGCAGAGGTGGTGGCTATGTTCGGGACACTCAGCCTGACAGTGGAAGAAGGACCAACACAAAAGCAGGTTGCTCAGTTTTTTCTTTCATAATTCAGCAGCTAGAGTAATGTCTGGGGGAAGAGGGGTAATGTGAATTGTTTCCATGTAGGAACAGTAAAAGTGCTATCAAAATCTGGTCCTATGCAGCCTTTTGGGGATAAAAAGTGGGTGATTAACATTGAGACTCAAGCTGTGGTCAAGGGTTGCGCAACACTGAAGAAAAATTTTATGAGACTCAGGGAGATGTAGGCCTGCTGTGGGGGACAAAGAAGTTAGGTCCCTGCAGATCAAGTAGAGCAGGTCTCCTGTGTGACTGATACCACGCTGTTTCTCTGCCCAGAAAGATAATGCTTAAATAATGCAAAGAGAGCCTTTGGGGAAAATAGTATTTGCTTTACTATAGGTCCACTATAAGTATGCAAAAGAGGGTGCCAGTTGCAGAGTAGGGTTAATTTTATTGTTTTTTTAGCACAAAGTAAAGCAGTGTAGGTTGGGTCCAGCCTTAGGCAGTGCAGACTGGTCTGGAAATACTTGTGTCTCTGCAAAGAGGAATCTTTAGATAAGGTATGAAAGTAAAAAATATTTACAAAGCAAATATATTGCTAAAGGAGTCCTTCTCCAGCTGTACTTGGGGCTTCCTGGAGAAGGGACAGGGTCTAAAAAATGCTAGGCATGTTTAGGTACCATGGCAAACAGAAGAAGAAAAATTATGTGTGACATATCCACCATGCAGGTTGCTCTGCTCTCTCTCATATGGGTGACAAGTGAAAACAGTAATTTACAAGAAAAAAGTCAAATGGATTTAAAAGCTCTGAGACTCAAAGTTGCCATTTTATGAAGTTCCATACAAACTGACTTTCAGGAACATAGAGTTTTTTCACAAGTTCTACCTGATAAAAGTATTGATGAACTGCTTTTGATCATGATTTAGCCAGAAACAAAATTTAGAAACAAAATTTAAAAAAAATTGAGATAAACAAAAGATGAATGAAAGTGGTTCTTTCTAAAAGGATGATGATACATACTTGTTCATTAGCATATTGGATGCTATGCCTTGTTTGTTACTGAGGACTTGACACTTGAATTAACTGGAGAGTTACTGTTTTGAAAA